GAGGTCACTCCCGAAAGTCATAATAGCTTTTAGGCACTGGGCGACATCCGTTAAACCAGTACTGTATTATATGGAAATAGGGTAATACCATATGGTATTATTTTTGTATTATCTTATAACAATGCGAAGTGATAGTATATCACGTGATCGAAAAGAAGAGCAAGCACATGACCTGTTACCCTCCACAATGCCGTTACAGGTAAGGCTAAAAGCATGTGAAAATCAGAAAACGGCGCAAGGAAGATCAAAGACAAATAAGGTACTACAATGGGAATAGTGGGTACGTATAAAAGTTAGATCAACGTCCACAAGTGCTTGAACAGAAAATTCGCGCGACCCACCCAAGATGAAGACACGTGATTCTATCATTTCCTCACTTGCATTTCTTCGCTTGCATTCTTCACTCACAGCCGGCTTGCTTCGGCAGGCGGGGAATGGCCTCACCGGCTACAATAATCCTACGGTGACTCCCAGTGCAATTACGATTGCTTTGTCGCGGGATGTCTTTGCCGTTCTGGCCAACTCGGTCAGTTGCTTCTCTAGCACATTTCTGCTATTTCAATAAAAATCACCTCTGGCCTAAATTATTTGCCGGCATAGTCCAAATAAACACAAATGTCATGTAATACGAATGCTTTTCGTACTGGTTTAACGTAAAATTATTTTTTCCAAAATGATCATCAGGTAAATGGCATTAACTAACCAATCAGATTGGTTTAAATGATGTTTATGTGATTTGTGTAACAAGCAATGCAGATTGACGATCACTTCATGTTTATAAATACGTTGTTTTTTTGTTTTGATAAACTTTGCCCTTTGATGATTGCACATTTCGAACTCACCCAACCTCTTAGTGTAAAGCAATGTTCAAGCATACCTAGTGTTATACTAGTTTAAACCAGGCTGGGACAAATGCCTAAGAAAGTTGGGTAACAAGGTGAAGGATATCTCATAGAGCTATAGAAAGTTCTAGCAATGTCCCCACCTTCGTTTTCGGGATCGATATAGTATAGAAGGACCATTATTTTTTGAACATTATTTCTTTTGTGCCAACGAACCGGGAACACTATATATGGTCTAGGGGCCGGTGTCTCTCTCCCTTTAAAAGAAGTTGGGCATTCCTTTAACATGAACTGCATGCATCTACCTACCCGTTGGTGCGGTTCAGAAACGTTGCATTGAAAGATGCACGGCCAAACGATGCATATTTTTAGACTATTTGTTTATTTTAGAAATTGATCGGTTCTAGTTTAATCTTATTATTTCCAAAAATTTGAATTTTGATTTCATTATTATCTTCCTAATTCATTTCATCTAACCAAACGATTATTTCAATACTTTCAGTTACAACACTACAAAATAACAAATAATGTGTAAAGGCTACAAAATAAACACCAAAAAATTTTCTAATTAATACAAAGTTTTACCTGTTACGTATAATATAAAGTTGATAAATTGTACTAAGATTACACTACAATACGATATACATACTCTATTCTAACTCCCTTTAAATAGCTCAAGCGCCTAAGTTATATTATATAAAAAAAATATTATTATAAAAAAAAAAATCAAAAATATTTAAGGGTGATAATTGAATTATTGAATTAAGTTCTGGTGTCTTTAAAGTTTATTTTTTTTCAAATATATTAGTTAGATCCCAAGCTAAAGTTTGGAACCGGTTTTATTTTTCATATGCTAACATATAAAAAATAAAACTGGGTTCAAACTCTATCCCAAGTTGTGACTTTTTTTTGATTTTTAAAATTGTGCTAGAAATTTTCATGAAATTCCATTGCAATAATATTATTATTTTGCATGAGATGCTTGAATTTATTAGACCAGTAAAATGGTGATAATATCATAATTTCAAGTGAATTTATGTTTTCTTGATGACTTGAGAACGTTTCAATGTTTTGAATTGATTTTTAACAGAATGTTGTCGACTCAAAGTTTCATTAGGAATAAGTTGGTTTACGAAGACCAACATCATTCATCGCTATTGCGTTTTCTAACTCAGCTGCTATCATTTTACGTATTGAAAGTTAATTTAATTTCTGTATGATTAATAGGATCATAATTCCAAAATTGTTTATCTGTTATAAAGTTCAATATATTGAGACAATATACTATATCTTTGAAAGTTTTTTATTATTCCCTTGAGAAAAGATGAAAATAGTGACTTCCGCTTAAATTTCCAAAAGGCCACTTCGAAGCTATACCGTATAGATGCGAAATAACGCGCAGGAGCATTCGAATTTCGTTCAGCCAGAACTATACTTAATTTAGGCCACGTAATTTCATGTCAATACGGTAGGCGCTAAATTTGTAGCTAACAAAGTATTGAGATTTGTGGTGTTCTCAAGCACCTACCTCAATGAATTCAATAAAAAATCTGATTGGCTAGTTTGATCAAACAGACCAATCAGATTTGTTATTGAGTCCATTGAGATAAGTGCTTGAGAACGCCCTTGATCTATGCCATTATTCAATGGATAATTGAATTTGAAATATGAGCATTTCATTGATAGTTCAAAATCCGTAATCTTTAGTTGTCTTTGATGAATTAATATATTTTCTTAGTTTATTGTTATCATGTAATAATAAAGGATTGAATGCTATTTCCTTAGCAACATTCTATAAACGATTATTTTTACTGATGTTTTTTTTATTTCTACTGATATATATATATATATATTACTATATCTTTCAATGTCAAAAAAGCGAAAAATAAAAAAATTTCCCCAGAAAACGTGCAAATCGGGCATTAATTTTGGTACCTACTGTACAGTACGTACAGTATATACCTTTATTTTATAAAATACTGTATATATGAATCTATCTACCCGCATTTACAAGAGCTTGCCGACGATTAATGATGGTTCTACACAGCGGACCTTCACCACAATGTTAGATAGTAATAAAAAATATATATTAGCAATATTACGGTCATATAAATATTATAAATCAGGCATAAATATCTCTATGTATATGGCGATTGTGTTCATACTTGTGGAGGATGTTTAAATTAGAATAATGAAATTTTAAATAAATATCTCTACTACTAAAGCAGATATAAAAGATCTGCTAGTGAATACTTTCGCAAGTAGAAATATTAAGAAGAAAGTGGTAATATCTCTACTACTAACGCTGATAGTGATATACTATCGCAAGTAGAAATATTTTTTTAAAAAAAGAAATATCTCCACTTCTAATGCAGATAGTGCCATAGCACCACAAGGTGGAGACATATAAATGGAAGAGATAAAAGCTCTGCTCTGTGCTATGTTATCGCAAGTAGAAATATTTTAAAAGAAGAAAAAAAAGGTTTCTAAAACTAAAATAAATAAGCCTCTACAAGTGAGATATACCATAATTTACAAATAACGAGATTTAAATAAATATTTCTACTACTAATGCAGCTATAAAAGAAGCTCTGCTAGTGAATGCTTTCGCAAGTAGAAATATTAAGAAAAAAGTGGTAATATCTCTACTACTAACGCTAATAGTGATATGTATCGCAAGTATAAATATTTTTAAAAAAAGAAACGTCTCTACTTCTAATGCAGATAGTTTTCATAGCACCGCAAAGGAGACATTTAAATTTCCACGAGTGGAAGAGATAAAAGCTCTGCGTAAGAGATATGCTATCGCAAGTAGAAATATTTTAGAAGAAAAAAAAGGTTTACTAAAACTAAATAAATAGCCTCTACAAGTGAGATATACCATCATTATATAGCCCAAAAAAAAAAAAAAATTATTAGAATAACTTATCTTTGCTTTAATAAGATCCAAATATTCGTTGCAGTAGTTGTCGCAGACAGACCTATTCTACGTTGAGGATCGTTTCCGGGGTCGAGTTATTTAGCATGATCAAATTGTATATCGAATGATAGATAATCTACACAATAGATTACGCGATTGAATTTTATTTGTGTATAGCAATAATGAACTAGACGTTAATAGTTAAAATGCGTACGTAATACTTATCTTTATTATAAACCATATGATTTGATCTACCGTATTTAGTGATTAATCGACGATTCAACACCACCACGAATATCAGAAGTATATATTAAAAATTAAATATATTAGTAATATTACATTTATATAAATATTATCACATATATTATAAATCAGATTCAACATAAAATATAAATATCTCTATATATATATGACGATTGTGGAGGCATGAGAGAGATGCTTAAATTAGAATAACGAGATTTAAAAATAAATATCTCTACTACTAAAGCAGATATAAAAGATCTGCTAGTGAATGCTTTCGCAAGTAGAAATATTAAGAAAAAAGTGGTAATATCTCTACTACTAACGCTGATAGTGATATGCTATCGCAAGTAGAAATATTTTTTAAAAAAAGAAACATCTCTACTTCTAATGCAGATAGTGTTTATAGCACCGCAAGGGCGAGACATTTAAATTTCCACGAATGAAAGAGATAAAAGCTCTACTAGTGCTATGCTATCGCAAGTAGAAATATTTTAGAAGAAAAAAAAAGGTTTACTAAACTAAAATAAATAAGCTTCTATAAATATATGGTGATTGTGAAGGCATGAGAGATGCTTAAATTAGAATAACGAGATTTAAATAAATATTTCTACTACTAATGCAGATATAAAAGAAGCTCTGCTAGTGAATGCTTTCGCAAGTAGAAATATTAAGAATAAAGTGTAAATATCTCTACTACTAACACTGATAGTGATATGCTATCGCAAGTAGAAATATTTTTTAAAAAAGAAAGTTCTCTACTTCTAATGCAGATAGTTTTCATAGCACCACATGGAGACATTTAAATTTCCACGAATGGAAGAGATAAAAGCTCTGCGTAAGAGATATGCTATCGCAAGTAGAAATATTTTAGAAGAAAAAAAAGGTTTACTAAAACTAAAATAAATAAGCCTCTATACTATAATATATACTCATCATTATATAGCCAAAAAAAAAAAATCATTAGAATAACTTATCTTTGCTTCAATAAGATCCAATTATTCTGTAGCAGTGGTTGTCACAGAGAGATCTGTTCTACGTTGAGGATTGTTGCCAGGGTCGAGTCGTATATCGAATGATGTAATTGCAAGACCGAAATGACAGGCTAGAATAATTAATCATATTAAATTCTAATGTTAGACAAATTTATACCAAATTATAAGCACCAAGAACAAAATTTTGACGTAGAAAAACTTTTTTTTTCGCCAGCCTTCATGTTATTACCTTCATTTAGCACGATTATTGCTAATATCCTCAAATTTATACTTATATCGATAAAAGAGAATTAATCTAATTCATTCTTTCTACTCATATTTAGAAGCTCTAGAGCTAATCTTCATAGGACTGTAAATTTATTATATTCAAGATAATTAATATATCCATCGGAAATAGCTTTTGAGGCCATTTTCCTCGTGCTTTGCCTAACGATCTTGGCCAACCACATGTCACAAACGAATTTGATCGGAATTTTCTTGAATACGTAAAAAAAATTGGATAGTTGCAGTAATGGTAATGCGTCTAGGTATTTGTGTCCTCAATTCTCTACACAACCTTTTACGCAACCTCTCTTGAAGATACTAAAAAATAAACCATAAACTATTAGATGATCTACACGATGTTAAGTTTTATTTGTGTATAGAAAATAATAAACTAAACGTACATACCTTTATTTAATAAAATATATCGATTAATCGACGATTCTACACCAGTGGGTTTCACTACGAATATTAGAAAAATAAATAAATGTATTAGTATTATTAAATTTATATAAATATCATCACATATATTATAAATCAGGCTATAAATATCTCTATATATATGGCGATTGTGTTCATACTTGTAGAGGCATGTAAATTAGAATAACGAGATTTAAAAATAAATATCTTTACTACTAATGCAGATATAAAAGATCTGCTAGTGAATGCTTTCGCAAGTAGAAATATTAAAAAAAAAGTGGTAATATCTCTACTACTAACGCTGATAGTGATATGCTATCGCAAGTAGAAATATTTTTTAAAAAAAGAAATATCTCCACTTCTAACGCAGATAGTGTCATAGGCACCACAAGGGGGAGACATTTAAATTTCCACGAATGGAAGAGATAAAAGCTTTGCTCTGTGCTATGTTATCGCAAGTAGAAATATTTTAAAAGAAGAAAAAAAGGTTTACTAAAACTAAAATAAATAAGCCTCTACAAGTGAGATATACCATAATTTACAAATAACGAGATTTAAATAAATATTTCTACTACTAATGCAGATATAAAAGAAGCTCTGCTAGTGAATGCTTTCGCAAGTAGAAATATTAAAGAAAAAAGTGTAAATATCTCTACTACTAACGCTAATAGTGATATGCTATCGCAAGTAGAAATATTTTTTTAAAAAAGAAATATCTCCACCTTTAATGCAGATAGTGCCATAGCACCGCCAGGAGACATTTAAATTTCCACGAATGGAAGAGATAAAAGCTCTGCAAAATGTTATGTTATCGCAAGTAGAAATATTTTAGAAGAAAAAAAAGGTTTACTAAAACTAAATAAATAAGCCACTACAAGTGAGATATATCATAATATATACTCATCATTATATAGCCAAAATAATAATAATAATAATAATAATAAATAAGAATAACTTATCTTTGCTTCAACAAGATCCAATTATTCGGTAACAGTAGTTGTCACAGACGTTAAGGATCAGTCAGTAACGTGATCGTATTAGTGATCAAATCCATAACAATCAAATAATGGAATTCAAGCAGTGCACGGTAGTCTAGGAATAAATACTGTGACATAAGGATCTGGGTATGCTGCTGTCTTATTCGTTGAAATACGTTAGATTTGCGCTAAGTGCAAGGTCAAGAGAATTTTAACTGTCGTGATCAGTTTTGAATTTAAAATTGGTGGCAATTGGTTATTTAATAGAATTAGAGTTGAAAATCGAAGGCAAAATTACCTGGTTCCGTTGGTGGAATTGATGGTTCAAGATATCAAGGAAACTGTAAATACGTATGCCAGTCTCTGTTATGTGTCGTTGTAAAAAGCATTTGGCTCATTCGTGTCCGTCTATGAAATTTCAAGCCGACGAAAATGATATGAAAGGTGAAAAGATGGAATCAGCATAAACAGGAGAGACGTTGATGAAGGCGAAATAAATAAAAAAGAAAAGTCTTCGTCAGTAAAATGTATTTAGATTATATGAATGAAGAGAGGGAAATAAAAATAGATGACATACCTGTGATATCTGAAAAGATTGTAAATGATGGATCCAAGATGATGATGCTGAAAATCTAGATTGATGAAAACAATAAATTCATTAATTGTCAAAAGTTGTGGCGATGAATCGGGCCAGCAAATATTGTAACCACGGGCATCTTCAAGAATGATATGAATTCTGAAAGGGAAAAAAATAAAACATTTACTTACCATCAAAGATCTGCGGAAGCTGGTCACATTAATTAAACGTATAATAGTTAGTGTCGCAGCTGATACTGAAATTTGGTTGGCTTGATTTAAAAATATAAGTCCTGATAAATTCAATGTGTTCTCTTTAAATATCAAATCTAATCCTAAACCTTAACCTAACCATAAAAAAAAAGCCCCGAAAAAGGCACCCCCCAAAAAAATTTTAAAATTTCATACAAAAATAGTTCCAAATTTCAGCATTATCCGCGACAGTTAGTATGGCTATGAATATGGAATCAAAAATTGAGAAGGATGGAAATAAACCATTCAGTTATTATCAATTGACGTAATCATACATGTAATCGTGGATCTTGCTGTGATAAATCGGAAGGAATGAACATGCTGAAGGCGTCAAATTGAATGGACGATGCAATTTTAAATTCTGGCATGAGAATGGAAGTGGAGTAAAAGGATGCTGAGAAAAAAAAGTCTAGTTTATTATGAAAAAACTGAAGGTTGTGAAGAGCCAGAGACGGACCGTTAATGTCCGGATGAATATGACAAGTATGATAGATTTTTGTAGAACAAGAACGCGAATAATTCCGTGTGAAATGTAAGAGGAACATAATTAATAAGGGAAATGGTGAATTTGATGAGTAAATAATTATGAGACGTGAAAAGAAGTGGAAAAAAAAAATCGAAGAAATGAATACATATAAGTTTCTACATCGGAGACGAATGTTGTTGAAGCCGGAATTAGCATTTGTGAGAATAATTTTGAACATGGTGATGATTGTGATTGTACGTTCAGAATCGATTCCGAATCGAGCGCTTTGCAAAAAGATGTGACCTCTGTAGATCACAATGTCGTGCGAAAATCGTTAAATAACTATAAATGAACAATTAAGAATCTCATAAATTTTCCTCGTTCATCATCACAAAAATATCTTTTTGCGAAGCGCTAAAATGATAGTAATTAGATGGTAATTAAATATAATTCAAAAGAGATTTTTGCCTAAGTTCTTACATGAAATTCTGTGTGGCATTTAGTGGAAATACCTGTACGAAATGACAGCTTTGTGTTTAGTCAAGTGAATGTAAAACAGTTAAAGTTATGCACGGTAGTTCAGGAAACATCGTGACAGTAATCTTGCAAATAATTTTTTAGTCACATAGAGTAAATTTCTTTTTGAAAAATTATTACCGCCTTTTACTTTAGAAATTTTAAATATTCCATTTACCAATTTATAACTTTCGAATAGTTTTTCGTTTTTCGATATAACAGATAATCATCTTTCGTCGTCGCTGAGTTCTTCCCGGTAAGCTTAACTGGATATATCATCGTAATGAATATACTGTATAAAAAAAAACGAAGTAAATGCACAGAATGAGAATGAGAATGAGAATGAGTAGTAGGTAAAGCACGACATATTGAGAATTATATAAAATCATGAAGATCATGCATGGTGATACAAACTACTATAAAATCATACGTGTCATTTTATACATATAATATCATTGGCTATTTACGCGTCGAGTTTCCAAAGGCGTGAAAATTAAACAAAAATAAGTGCAAGATTTTAAGTAAATGTAACCATACCTTATTTTATAATCAGATTTAAGATTAAAATCGTAGGCATATCCAAAAAATTTTGTAAGAAATTTTAAACCACTTTAACGTTACTGTTCTAACAAGTTATCAGATTTCTAAAATTTTGTTCTTAACGTGAAGCTACTTTCTGTGCACAAAATAAGTTTTTCTTGGTTCTAGTAAAGTTCTTTCTAACTTAATTTAATAGCAGATAATTTAGGAACGAAATTTTTTTTTTTTAGCAAATTTTTTTAAGTGAGCGATAAATTTTGAGTTTCGATTTTATCTATTTTACGTTACACTTGATTTCGGTTTGGTTCCTGATTCCGGGCTGTCAATAGTTATCACTTTAAGTTTTTTTAAAATAAAAAGAAGTATCTAATCGAGCAAATTTTTCTTTTTTTAGACTATAAACGATGTTTTATCAACAAATTTTCATTAATATATCCATGCTTACAAGAGTTTGTAAATTAAGTCCGTAGTATTTTTCACATCAAACACATTGTCTTCAACACCAAATTAACAGCATTACTTTCTTCATGCTTTCGTTTTTACTATCTCTAAAACGTACTAAACATTCAGAACAAGTCTTTTTCCTTGAAAAGATTTAAAGCTTTATATTTTCGGCACGATTTGCAAAAAGGATTCATAAAATAAGAAAAAATTTTTATCGTTCAAAAAGATTAGTACCGTATTTACTCGAAATAACGCACATGAGCGTTATTTCAAAAATTGCATTTTCTTAAAATAGCATAGTTGGTTTTGAAATAACGCCCATGTGCGTCTCGAAATAACGCGCACCCCATATACTAATGTTTGTAATTAAGTATTTGGAGGTCAGTATTTACTTGTAATTAGACCTTTACCTCGAAATAACACCCATGCGCGTCCTTGAAATAACGCGCATCTCCTTGAAATAACGCGCAGTTGCCCGTTATTTCGAGTAAATGCGGTATATTGATTTGTAATAATTACAAAAATTTTTATCGTTCATTCAAAAAAGTAGTACTGTATATTGATATGTAATATTACAAAATTATCTGTCATACAAAAATGAATTATCGAAAAATTTAATAAAGTACCACTACGTAACTGATTTTTGGGCGATGCAAGGTTCGTCAACTTAAAAATTTATCCGAATTATTGTCGGGATGGCGGATAATCACGAGTTCAATATTATATATATTGTATTGATATCGATATCAAATAGAACAGTCTAGAAAAATCATTACTTGAAACTTGCTTATGTATTGTATTTGGTTTTTGTATTTATTATACGTATTTTAATAAAACATACTACATCGATATCAATATAATACATAATCTATAACTCGTGATTACCCGCTATCCGTCATCCATCCTGACAATAATTCGGGATAAATTTTTAGGGTGTCCACGAATTTTGAAATTAGCTGTAAGTTGATTCTTAATGAATATGCTAAGGCAGTTAAACTCGGTGATGTAATTTTCTTTTTAGGGAAATACTAGTATACTCTGTGTGGGGAAAACACAATGTATATTTATAGAGCGACGTAAAAAGAATGTGTTAATTTAATATTAATAATTTGAAATCGACTTCCAAATTTTAGCATTAAATAATTTGAATCTCAAAATTTTAATTAATTAAATAATTCGAATTTCAAATTTTAACGTTAAATATTACAGCCAATTTTTCAAAATTCGTGGAGCACCCTAAAAATTTATCCCGAATTATTGTCGGGATGGCGGATAGTGGGTAATCTAGAGAGTGTTTTTATTAAATACGTATAATAAATAAAAATACATAAGCAAGTTCCAAATAATGAATTTTCTATTTGTAATCGATATCAATATAATACATAATCTAGAACTCGTCATTACCCGCTACCTGCCATCCCGACAATAATTCGGGATAAATTGAAATTAGCTGTAAGTTTCAAAATTTGCTACTACATATAAATAATCATTAAAAAATATCGTAAGAATATTCTTCGTTGTACGTTAAAAACCAAAACAATCTTGATGGTCATAAATTTAATTAAGTTCGACAATTAACGTTAAGCTAAATCATTAAATTATATATGCGTAATACAAATATTACAGTTGTTTCATAATTGCTAACTTCACATGATTTTATAAAATTTTCCAGTTCCTTATTCTCCATAATTTACGTTAAACCGGCATTGTTATAGGAACTAAAAGATAATACAAAAATAATACTATCTCCATTTTTATTAAATTATGGATATCCCCTAATAGGATTTTTTTTTCTAAAATATAAAAGCGCGATGAATTCCACTCACCGAAAGTTGATTGTCATTTTTCACTTAAATTTTTACGTATAAACAAGGATGAAGTATTTTACATCTGTTATTCTTTTATTGATCACTGCTTTTATTGCAGCGAACGTCAATGCCATCGTAACGGGAACATATTTTGACCGAATTGTTTTAATCATTTTTGAGAATACAACTTTTAGTCAAGCTGAACAACAATCCTTTTTGAAAAATTTAACTAGCCGTGCTAACGGTCTTCTCCTTTCCAACCACTTCGCAGTTGCATATCCATCTCAGGTACGTTTTATTCTGCTCCTTTTAATTTTAATCGTAAAATTTAAAATAACTTTTTTTTTTTTTAGCCAAATCACATTGCTATAATTTATGGTTCAACCGCTGGTATCACGGACGATAACTCTCATAATATTACTGGAAACAATTTAATTGATCTGCTTGAAGCCAAAGGTGTCTCTTGGAAAGCCTATATGGAAGATTTTCGTATGTGTATCGTGTTTATCACTAAATATTAATATATTTGTTTTCGAATTTTATTCATTTTCTCCTATTATTTTTATAGCTGGCAATTGCTTCACTGGTACTTTTGCACCTTCGGGTACTGACCTTTACGCAAGAAACCATAATCCTTTCATTTCAATGAATAATATAAGACAAAACTCTGCCCGTTGTGCAAACATAGTTCCTGGCACTCAACTTGATACTGACATAAACAACAATCAAGTACCACAATTTGTCTATTTTGTACCAAATCAAAAAAATGCTGGTCATGACACTGGTGTAGCATTTGCGATGAATTGGTTTCAAAATTGGTTTGAATCAAAGCTTAAAAAACCTGCTTTCACAACAAATACATTATTCATTATCACATTTGATAAAGATGATGGTTCCCAAAGCAATCATATTTTTTCTGCACTTCTAGGTACTCCTGTTCATCCGCCCTCCGATCATAATGATACTACCGCTTATAATCATTACTCACACTTGGCTACCGTAGAGTTAAATTGGAATTTAGGAAATTTGAGTAGGCAAGATGCCACTGCGACTCCATTTACTAAATTTTTACAACATCCTTGAGCAATTTTACTAAACTAAATGTTGCAACATGGTCTGAACAAGACTTAATTAATATAAATTAAATAGGATAAATAGGATAAATGTTTATAATTATCTTAAATATGCAAATACTTTATATTATACTTATATTATGCTTATATTATATTCAATATTTATATTACCTATTCGACTTATTAGAATGTTCATATTACATTTAGCCTATTAATAAATTCATAAATTCGGTCCTTTTTATCTATAGTTAAATGAGTTGCATTATAAAATTTATGGCTCATAATATTGATCTAAATCGGAACAAAAAATGTATTCAATTATTAGTTATTCGATTGCCTTTTAAAAAATCAATTAATAGTTGGATAAGCCTAACTAATTGAATAATCGACCAATCGATGATTTCTTTAACATTACTTCTGATGACGTAATATATATAAACCAATACTATATAAATTATTTAGTATACATTTTTTCTAAAAAAAAACTTTTTAATGGCCAAAAATTATTATTCCGGAACATGCTTTGAATGAACAAAGTATCTTTTTTGTACAACTTATAAAACTTATTGTAACTGAAAAAAATATTTCAACAAAAATAAAATTATACTAAAGTTCTTTATGCTTTTACTTTGAAGTTTCATGATTCTTTCAGTAATAACAAATTAATTTCTAGAATCATGCAATAATTTTTATAAAATTGAATTTAACTTAAATTTTCTTCTTACCCATTATGCAATAATAATAGGACTAAATAAGAAACAAAAATTAATAAGTTCTTTGCAACACGATGAATGTGCATATTCCTACAAACGATACTAAATCAAATATAATATTATATACTAGGATAATACATATTTATTGTATGTTACGTGTTTGACTTCCAGACATGTTAATCACAGCATGTCTAGTAGTAATTTTTATCCAATCATAGTTCATGTTACGTGTGGACATCCGGACATGATCTAAGCATGTCTAGTAGTAGAGTTTACCAATCATAGTTTATCACGTGTGGGATATCCGGACAAATGATCAAATTAAGCATAGAATGTAAGTCCTTCGCTACGCTCCGGATAATAATGAATCTATAACTATTTCTGCAAAAAAGTATTTAAGAAATTGGAAATTGGAAATTAGAATTCATCGATTTCTTTTTTTTTGGTTTTTTTTTTCTGCAAATTTCACATAATTTTGCAAATCGCAATAAACTATCGGAAGTTATTTTGTGATAATTAGCATATGAGTATAAACCAACATTTATTAACCTAGATTCAGAATAAGCTATTCATATTCGAATGCCTACTCTTTATAATTTGATTATATTGTGAGTATAAAGAAAATAAAGTTATTTAATTTTTTTTTATTCGTGATAATTTAGTGTATATGCATAGGAAAATTTCTTAGCCAAAATATTCAAAATAAGTTAATCAAGTTCACGAATATTTGGTTTAATTTTATTTACAATAATTAGTTTGAAAATTCAAAAATGACGCGTAACATATATATATTTGATATTCATTCAAATTAGCTAAGTTATTTAAGCTCATATGGTGTCAGCAAATTGGTTTGGTGTTTTTTTTTATTAAAAACTTTAAATTAATATCTCAACAACTATTAAACTCTATAACTATATGAAATTAAAATAAAAATTTTTTATCAAATTTAGTTTATTTAAAGTTAAATAAAATTACTTAGAAACAATTTGCTTGGTTTCTACTGACGCCCCATATATTAATTATTATTTTAATCGCATTAATTTAGTATTTAAAAATATTTTGAATGTTTACTCTCAAGACTATAAGTACAAAGAATCAGTACTAAGAACTTAAAACAAATGATAATATTTAAAATAATGATTAAGGTTCGCGATTGTATTAGTCTGTTTATTAGTCTCAGCATTTAAGATAAGTTACTCAATTTCATGATTTTTCTTATTAATTAATCAACGAGCATAAAAATTTATTATTTTAAATGTAAATGCCGCATAAAGCGGAAACGGTTAAATTCATCTAATAAATAATTAAAGTTACAGAAGATATATAATTGGGAATTTAATATTAAATATAGAATTTTATTTATTTTTCCGATTTATCATTCAACATAATAAAAATATCAGGACATATGGTGTTTATATATGGGTAATGGGCTAAGAAAACCCCTTTCGGTATTAGCTACGAAGGGGGTTTTACCCATAATCTATACATAACATTAGTGTTAATATACTATTGGTATAGGTTTACAGTACAGGGGTCTTGGATCAAATCCACTGAGACGCTTGGCGGCTGGTATATCGTTTAGGTCCTATCCACCTTGTAACGATGCGACCACAAGTTAATACACTCAGTTTATTATTAAGAACGTGTTTATTCGATACAAGACTATTTACTATTTAGACTTTTAATTAATTCATGTTTTATGAAAGTTAATAAGATATCCTTTCTCTCTACATAAACGGTACCTTTACATATGTCCTATCTAGAATAACTCGATTACCAAGAATGAGGTAAAAGGAATAACTAATGTGGTCATGCAAGAATATAGTAATCGTTACCTGAAAGTGTAGTAATAATTCGATAATGATAATGTAGCAATGATCTGCTAATTATGAAGTAATGGGACGATACTAATTAAGCTAAAATTAACATATGAAATTTTCTTAAAAAACTTGTTAACATATGAAAAACTTTCGCACAACACCGGTGACCTGCGATCAAGCCTCAACCCCGGCACTACAGATACAGGGGGTGTTGGTCATCGTCATGATTGCAGTGGCTAGTGGATTTAATCTGAATCCAAAGGAAATCTGAAGACCGAATAGGCTTGTGATATCATACATGTTTAATTGCCCAAAAAGCGTATTGGTATAGAAGGCTAAAATAATTAATCATTAAACTTGAAGATGACATTTACTGGTTTATCAAAAATTATGACGTACGATATGGGTGCACTATTTTAAATTTGTATCATACTGATAGTTAGGATGGTAGAATTTTTACAATGATTTATTTTGTTTGATGATTATAAGGTAATACACGTATTAAGTGTATAATAGGATATTTCTTCAAATTTACTGAATTTTAAATTAGTTTGTAAGTATAGTCGATTGTCTTTAAAAATTAAATGTTTTTCAAATTACTAAATATAATGATTATGTTACGTATTAATAAATTAATAAATATAAAATTCAGTAATATATACATAAGTATTGAATTACTAGATCTCTTTGAATAATATTATTATCATGTAAAAAAAATGAAAGTCCGAGTAGCGATTTGTAGTTTATCCATCTATGTAATTTCATAAAATTTATCATTAGATATTATCGTAAGTTCCTTCGTTAGCATATTGTAAAACCATATTATAATATCCGTTACTATTTATATATTCGATTTGATTGTTTAACATGTTATTTGGTACCTTCGAAAATTATAAAAATCTTGGTTATCTTTCGTCGCTTCATAGAATGAAATAACGTTTGGATGGTAAGAAACTCTTCACAATAGCATGAATTATAAGAATCTAAAATTTTGAAGTAGGATGTATTAAAATTTATTATAACAAATAATACCTCATCAACTTTTAAGACATTTAAAAGAAACTGTCTCTCTGATTACAATAGGATCAGTAAATTTTATTATATTCAATATAGTTAATATGCCCTTCGGAAATAGCTTTTTCAAGCCATTCTTTCTGTACATACATATTTGTATTAGTACAGGCATGAACGTATAGTAAGTACTGCACATGCTTAAGCACGAACGTATCAGGTATGTATATACGTATGTATCTGTTGGTATATATCTGATATCAGGTTTAGTAACAGTAACAGTAAGTATGAACGTGTCAAGTACAGTACTTACATACGTGTACGAACAAGATATACGGGAATGGCCTGATTTAGATGGAAAACATGATATAAACCAACAAAGATTAAGAACGTAACCTACGCGGGTGCTAGACATACGATGGCTCTTATAAGATAGTAAATAAGATATATATTAGATAAAGATTTGGAATCATATAAATAAAATGAAATAATTATCTATATTTTATGTACAAAATTAAATAAGTTAATTGAAAATGGAAGTTGGATGAGATACAAAATCGGTTGAAACAGAAATACGGATATGAAGTAAATTTATCGTTTTAATCTTAGAATCAAAAACCACGAAACTAATCTATATGTAATGGGACATAAAATTAATTGACATGTAAAGAATTATTGAGACACGAAATTGATCACATCATATACGAATTTATTGTACGGGTCTTATGTGACAACCCGTGCTTTTTTCATTTACTTATTGGCACGGGATTGTTACGTCAGACACCGTACAATAAGATAGTTATTGTATGGTATGTTGAATAACCCAGTTACACACACGGGTTCATATTTAATCCCGTGCCTTCGGCACGGAATATGAACCCGTGTGTAACTGGGTTATTCATTACATACCCATACAATAACTATAATTGATTGCATCAGAATCCCGAGCTATTCATAAATAGATAAGCGAATACTAAAGACGGCATTTTTTTATTAATAAAAAATTTTTTTTTAATTCTGGTTAAAAATATGAAAAAGCAAATTTGAATCGAACCTATCTATATATGGCTTGGGATCCTATTGCATCATATACGAATTTGGTTGCATCATATACGAATTCGGTTGCGTCATACATGAATCTGGATGTATTTTATACGAATTCGGTATGGATTTGGTTGCATTTTATACGAATTTGATTGCATCATGCATACATTTTATACGAATTTGATTGCATCATATATGCATTTTATTCGAATTTGATCGCATCATATATAGATTTGATTGTATATTATACAAATTTGGTCGGAAAATCCATATTTAGTTTAAAGCTTCTAATACTAACACACTAACATTAAATTTTTAGTTTTACAGTTTTTGTTTGATATCGTGATTCTTTATTAAGATGTTGTATTTGCAGTTCAATTAAGTACGTACATACAGTAATTACTTGCACAATGGTTCAGCAT